GTGTTCTGATATGATTATGAGCAGCAATAATAAATTGTGCTAGAAACGTGGTCATCAGTAGATATTACTGTATAAAACACTGTGTGATTTTATCAAAATAAATAAGTGATTCTAAAGTTTCTTGAAATTGGCAAATTGGTCCTAACTTCTTCAGGGAAATTAATCAAAATTAAAATAACAAAGGTATGTATAGAGAAGTTTGTATAACATCCAGTCATTGGGACCCGATTTAATGGCCACCAGCCGATGAATTCTAACTTCTACCAATTCGTGATTCGAGTGCGACCACCAACCAATGTCTTCGGTGGGAAATCCATCCTCACAACCCGACTAGATGTACCTCACTGGCCACGACTTCCCACTAGAACTCCGGGAAACTCCGTCCTATAGCAAGTCTCTAACTGCTATCAGTCCGCGGTCAAACTTGAATATAAATCCTTACAAATCAACTGTTGAAGATATATAAATAATGCAATAAGAAGACGTAATTTGTCTGAATCGTGTAATGTGTATTCGCGCAACACATTTCGAACAATCTGATCACACAAGGACTTGTCATAGGAATGAATATGTACGAAATTAATAAAGAGTTAAGAGGCGAGAAAATAGACTTAGGTCACGTTGAAAGGACACAGTCAAGGTTAGAGTAACAATGATGATCACTAAACCAAATAACAGAGGTAATAGTTCATCTTCCCAGGCTGGTATCAAAACAAAGTTTACCAAGGAAGGTTTATTGTGATGACGATTTGTTTTTGAACGCATAAAGGTGGTTTAAGCTTCCTAATAGCTAGGTCTTCCAAAACCTTTAGGATACAGCCGAAACACATTTTATAGACAAGCCTTTAAAAGATATGAGGAAACATCAATTTTATGTTCTGTCTCAATAACATGTTGAGTAGTAGGGAAGCTAGGTCTCCTGTTCTCACCATTAATGGATTCCGGGGGTTTTATATGCTTCTGTAGCCATTTAGGAATATGCTCTAAAGCCAGCCAGTCCTTACTTGCAGAGATCGATGAGGTCTCTCTTTGTTTGTGTGTGTACACACGTAAATACAGTGGGATATGACATCAATAAAAACCTTGTCCAATCATGTTTGAGTCGTGAACAGACATCAAAATATAATAAACAAAATTGCATGAACATTGGAAGAAAAAACATTGGCGCAGAATAATCTGAATCCATCTTATTTCGCTGGTTCTCGTCAGCTGCGTACAACCTGAATTTTTTTATTAAAAATAAAAAGTGTACGATTTTAACAAACCTTTGTCCATTAGCAAGCATAGTGTCAGGGCGTCATAGTAAAATAAGGCATTGAGATTTACAGGATATCTAAAATGTCACGATATATATCTATATCTTGGTAGGGAGTAGTTTCTTGGAAAAATTAGTTAACAGTTGTGCTGTTAAGGTGGTAACAAAAGACAATTAGCAATAGTTACGGAATTAGATAGGGGAAGATCAAAATTTTAAAATTACGATGCACATGAGGTCAGATGAGAAGTTGATGATGTAATACAGTGAGCAGAATTCAGAAGATCAAGAAAAATTATCTCTTAAGAGAGTCAAGCGAAAAATAAAGGGAGGGGGGTGGAGTGAAAAGATAAGTTAACAAATTTAACAAATTAGAAAACAAAGAATTATGAAGATGTGAGTTACCAGGGTAGTTGAAGCCCAACAATGGATTCTTTTTGGACACATAAGTCAGGCTTAAATCGTTTTATTGCTAAAGCTTCAGACAACCTGAGAAGACTTGAGGAACTTTGTCTGTTAATTATTTTGAATGATTCCAGCACATCTACTCGGTGCTGTCCTGTGTCAATCAGGTGTTTGGCGATTGAAGAGCTTAAATAATTCGGTCCCTTTAACCGAAGGCTCCTTGGTACATGTTTGCAGAATCTGACGTAGGCCCTCCTCTCTGTTCTTCCAATGTAACAGCTCCCGCAGATACATGTCAGTTGGTATACACAGTTGGAGGTAACATGTCAGGAGTACTTGTCAATCTTTGACTGCACCAGTGAAGAGGTTGTTCTGGATAGAGAGACTAATAACGCTGCAGGATACGTCCTAGACAGGGCTGCGCTTAATCATTTATTTATCATTCTCACAGTGTCGTCGCCCTTGTAGTCAAGTTTGATGGAAATAGGTTTCTTACAGAAAATTGTATGAACTGTGATCAAAATTTGACCACAGACTTACAAATATTAGTTTACTTTTTATTAAACATTGTAAACAAATGTGTAGTGATTACGTTCGACTAAAGTTCATGGTCATAGATAACTGAATATAAAACATATATATGTGTACATGCGGTATACAATGGTGTGTTTGTGTGTATCAGCAACAATTGTGAATCCTTTGTTAGCCTTTCATAAGTAGTTGTAGACAATCTGGAATTTTGATGAAGTATGATGCATATCGATTTTCATTTATTAATCAGTATTTGCCATGCATCAACTAACATCACACCTTCATGTCCGTTCAAGCTATTTGGATTCACCTATATATGTAGGGCTTCTGCAGTCAGTCTTTTTTATACTGACAGAAGCCTTTCTGTAGGACCATGGTCCTATCATCAAAGTGGATGTGTGTCTCATTTCTATGCAGTGTAGCGCATTGGCTGATCTGTTTTCTGGCTTTTTCGAATCTGCAGGGGTCTTACGAACCACCTTTAGAAATTGTTTATGCTCATTCACTCTTATATTTACCTGTCTGAAAGCTCCTTACAATCCTCACAGCTGATTTAGAACACACAATTTTGTTGGTTGTCTTCTTCTATTTTATCCTTAATCCTCACCAGTGATGAGTGTAAGGTGTTCGTTAGACGAAAATACACCATTATGTCATAACTGTTAAGGATTCACTTTATCTCATCCGATGTTTCTTCGCGGTAAGGAATCATCGCTGTACTAACCCAGGTCTTAGCAACAGGTTTGAATTCATCCTTATCCTCACACTTTAAATATCTTTTTATGAAGGCTTTAGGATAATTATTTGATTCAAGAGTGGATTGAACCAATTTTAGTTCCTTGCTAATCTCTTCCTCCTCAGTAACTGAACGTTTGGCTTTGTTAATCAAGTTCTTGGCCACAGTGACTTCGGTGACAAAGAGATGTACTGAATTTTAGTCTATGCATCTTTCCAAAAGTGTCAGCTTTCTGAAGATGTTCATTTTAAGTTTAACATCTGGTTGCCTTTTTATCAAACAGTCCAGGAAAGCCAAACTATTTGCATAAGATTCAATCTCTTTTGAAAAATTAATAGTTTTTGATATATTGATTATCCAAATGTAAAAGTTCATTCAGCGCCAATCGTCTAAGCCTGTCTTAACCACCTCCAATTTCGCCAACAAAACAGGCTTATGGCGAAGTTAAAGTATCATAGCCAAAGTCAAGGTCATTCAAAAGTTGACCTTCGAGAACCAGTCAGATACAGGGAATGTTGTGAAAGACCATGCCTACCTTTTAGGACTTGAAGAGGGTAGATAAAGCATTCAATTTATTCTCTAGATACTTCTTCTGAAGATCTATGCCGTTAGGTAGTGCGATGGCTTTTTAGATTAAGGTGTAGAGTCTAAAGTTAAGGCTAAGTTTAGCGTTAAAGTTGAGGTTAGGAGTTAGGATGATGTTACATTAAGAGTAGGTTGAAGAATAGTGTCAGAAATATCAATGGATCTCAAAGTACCATGACACCTAGAGTCACCTGGATGAAAGGAATATATCGCGCATGGTACGATTTATGCAAAGATAATTTGTGTAGTGACTGGGAGACATTCTTACAACACATAAGCTACAACTACACAGTGTTATATCATCTTTACAATATTCTTTTAGTGCATTTGTCATTGAGTGTCCTACTTTTCTACAGCAGAATTCTGATTGGTTGTTTAAGGTCATTGTGGTTTCGGCTTTGTTTGATTAGTTTTCAAGTATTCGTTTTGTAGGGATTTTGTTTGATTGATTAGAGGATTTCATCATGAGCTGACTTCAGTTAGAGAACAACTGGAAAACCAGCCAAGGAGTACTGGACAGCTGTTTCGTCTGTCGACCTTGGAACTCTTCATCAGTACGCACCCACCATCAGGGTTCGAAACCAGCACCTTCTGGTTACAAATCTAGCTAGCTCGTAGACCATTCAGTCACTGGGACCCAATCCAATGGTCAGTCCATGAATTCCAATTTCTCCCAATTCATGAGTTAGCGCGACTATTTTGCAATGTCATTTTCGATAAGCTACTGCCTCACCTTCAACCCGCTGTACCCAACTTGTCACGACTTCCCACTAGAACCCCAGGTTAACTGCCTGAATAGGGCCAGTCGCCAGTGAGCATCAGATCAATTTTTTCAAGTATTAGCGTTTTGTAGGGATTTTGTTTGATTGGTTGAAGAGTCTCAAACTAGGACAAAACAGCTGTCCAGTATGATAGATTAACTTTGCCGAGTTACTTTTACGTTAGACAAAATTAAATGTAGAAAGAATTTTGAAATGCAAGAATAGTGAAGATAGATTAACGATGAATTAATAAAGATCGGACATTGTCACATTGCAATTTTCGACTGATTTCACTGGACTCCGCCAGCAAGGAGTGACATCAATTCTAGCCAACAGCAAAGATGAAAAATCTATTTAGTACCCATATAGTTGAGGTAAATACATCCAATATCTTTCAGAAATTGATTCATTCTGGTGCAATATTTGTGTCTGCTAATAGTCTATGTCTTGAAGTAAGATTTGCGTTAATTTAAGATATCCTAATTTGTATGAATGTCCAATAAATGCATTGATCTTTTTGAAAGACACACTTGAAACATCGTTTAAATAAATCAGTTCATCAATAAACACACCATTCCTTCATTTAACCAATAATAAATCAGATTGAATTCTTGTTCTATGATTTGTCAATTCAATACAAGATCCACCTACGCATTCAAGCCACACTGACCAATCAAATACCAGCGCACATGTGACCTTCGTTTACATTTATAAAATTCAGTGGTATAAACAATAACGCTGTATTTATATACTATACCTGCTAAATATTAGTTTTTACTCAGCGGAATAAAAAAAAAGATGAATCCAAATTATGAAGATTTGTCAGCATGGAATTTGAATGACGCGAACAATCCTATGTCAAACACTAACTCATATTATCCTGGAGGTCCAGGTTTCCCAGGTGGTGGACCAGGATATCCAGGAGGCGGACCAGGATATCCAGGAGGAGGACCATGCTATCCTGCAGGTGGACCAGGGTTTCCAGGAGGAGGAGGTCAAGGATTTCCACCACCAGCACCATGCCAAGGAGCACCACTAGGTTATCCAGGTCCTGACCCTGCAGGCTTTCCACCTTCTGGTTCTATGGGATTTGGTAATGGACCTCAATATGGATATAATCCAAGTGGTGCAGGCTATCCAGCTCAAGGATATCCACAAACAGATTCAAACTATGGAGGCGCACGCCAGTATATTCCAGGCGCACCTATTTGCCCATCACAACCATCGTGCGGAACTATGGATTCATTCAGTTATAATGATAGTGATTATGGAAGAGGTACAGACCGAAATCCATATTCCGAGCCAAATAGATCTTGTCAGTCCAATTCGTATAAAGACATAGTGAGTTGCTTTGTACATATAAATTTATTTTTATATATTGTTCATTTTATAGAATGAGACCACTAATAATCACTGGTTTATCCTATTACCACACTTTCCTACTGTATTGTGCTGTGTTGAACTGTTTTTCTCACTGAAACTATCCATGCATACAAGCCAGATGAATATGGCCTTTCTTTATCGATCTGTCCATGCCTTATACACGGAAAAATCAATAACCTGATATATTATTTTTATTATTCTTTTGGAATCCGAGAGATAAATAGGGCTTAAGTATCACATGGCGATTTCGCTTTATTCTGTGAAGTTTATTTTATCAGGCTGCCTAACTGACTATACGCCTTCGTTTGCTCTTTACACGATCTCCTCCATATCATCCTCGGGTAGACACCCATCGTTGCTCTTTCTCGACAGCGTGACATTTAATGTCACTCAACAGTCTTCTTAGTGTATGTCCACGAATCCATCTCTATTTCCTTCCACATATTTGTTGCGTCACAGGTTCTTGGATGATTCCTTCGTTGTCAGAGTTCCTCATTGGTCATCCTCTCTGGCAGGCTAACTGAACTTTAGTATGGAATGAAGGCAGCTTAAAATGAACGTCTACAGTGTTGAAAGTGTGAATATTGCCCTTCATGCTGACTACAGTAGATTTCGTAGTAATGAATGGCTGCATTGCTTAGTTTCGTAATCTGTAGGCCCCGGGTTCGATCTCTGGTGTCTTTATGATTGTGCACCGATGAAGAGCTCCAAATCGGAATGAAACAGCTGCCAAGTACTTCCTAATTTTCACTTATCTCTTATTGATGTTGGTTCGTGAAAAAGTCTCCAAATATGCTTATTTTCACTAGGAACATTTCACCGTTAATCCATTATTTAAGTAGTCTCCTTATTCGAATTCTTATGCTGAAAGTTGTGAAAGATGATAAAGATCTGTAGTAAGGGTTATAAATCTGATAAACAGTTTAATAAAGGTTGAAATTGTTTGTTCTTTCCAATAGAAATGAACCTTTAATCAGGTTTTTATTATTCAGTGATGATTTCCAGATGTTCCTGGCTATTCATGTCCACCAGACTGACTGAGGATGGTCCTCTGAGTTCACGACCCACATGTATCTGGAGTTCACTAAGGTACAGACAAGATTTACTGTTGTCTTGCAGTAAGAATTCATCGATTGGAACGGTACACCTGAAAACAAATTTGGTAAAGTGTCTCTTTAACATAATTATAATATCATGCTGATTAACATGTTCAAAACAACATCCAAACGTTCACTGACTTGAGCTTTATATCAGAGGAGCGACTATTTGCTTTGAAAAATGTAGCTACTGTTCTCTTTCGCTTTGGATTATCTATCTGTTAACAGTGCTTTTCCCCTGGTTATTCTGTTTATTTCAAATTTGACGCCTGATTGATAACAGTTAGAGAGCCATTGAAAACCAGAAAAGAATACTGGACAGCCGTTTCGTCCTAGTTTGCGACTCATCAGTGGTCAAACGTGAAACAAATCTAATCCCTACCAACTAACCGTTGAAAATTAATCTGAACCACAGGATGAAGTGGCCTAGAGCCCTATTGAGAAGTCGTGACCAGTAGGGTCAATCAGGTCGGCAGTGAGGACGAATACTCGGCACGGATAACAATGACTGATGGTCAGGGCAAAACCAAGAATTGGTAGAAGTTAGAATTCATCAGGTAGCCATTAAATTTGGGACCGGTATCTGCATGGTCTACGAGATTGCCGTGTAACTGAAAGGTCTCGGGGTCCCAACTCCACTGGGTTCCTATTCTTGGTGAGTACAAAGCTAGGTTGAAAAAGTTGTCCACTACTCCCTTTGTTTTTAAATGTCTCTCCAACTGATATCAGTCTGTGATCAGACTTAAAAAACAAAGCAAATCTCTGCAAAAACTGATTCTTGAAAATGTTCTATTTATTCATGTATGCACGGCGTTTTAATTGACAAAATGAATAGGATACATATTAGGTAATATAATGCTCCACTTATCAGTCTGACAACTGGTTTCTGACAAATCAGGAACTGTAATTAAGCACAATACTTAGAAAAGCAAACATCCAATAATCATATTTTTATATTCGAGCTTTAGTTTTCAGGTATTTGAGTGGTTCCAGTATTGCATCATGAACTGAGACCGGTTAGAGGCCCACTGGAATATCTGGAATACTAGAGAGATGTTTGGTCCTCTCCATCAGTACGCACCCACCACCAGGTTTCGAATCCTGAACCTTCTGGTTACAAAGTGAGCTAGTAGACCATTAGGCCACTGTGGAGATTCTCACACTGGGACGAAACAGCTGTTCAGTACTTCCAGGGTCTCCATCCGATGTCAGTTCATGGTGAGATCCTGAAACCAATCAAACTAACTCCCTGCGAACCAACACATGAATATCAGTCTGATGCTTACTAGTGACTGGCCGGCCCTATTCATGTAGGTAATTACCTGGGTTTAGGTAGGAATTCGTGATCAGTGGGGTCCATCCAGTACGGAGTTAGGAGAAATACTCACCAGCAATTAGATTAGCTAGTGGTCACGTTATATCGTGAATATGCAGAAGTTGGAATTCATCAACTGGCCATTCGATCTCGTCCCAGTGGCTAAATGGTCTACAAGCTTGCTTGCTTGCTTGTAGCCAGAAAGTCCTGGGTAGGAGCCTCCTGTTGTGGATGTGTACAACTAAGGAGTCTCAAACTAGAACGAAACATCTGTCAGGTACTCTAGTACTGGTTTTCCAATGGACCTCTAACCTATGTCAGTTCGTGAAGAAATACATATTTGATATAAGTATAAAACTTGGGCACTGTGGTAGAGTATAACTCCATTATGGATAAGATTTTATTTTGATAAATCACACAGTGTTACACAGTAATATTAACTGATGACCACGTTTCGAGCACAAATTATTGCTCATAATCATATTAAGTTAGTCACACAACTTTTTCCTTCATTTATATATATGTATGGAATTGAAAAGTTGTGTGAGTAACTTGATATGATTATGAGCAATAATTTGTGCTCGAAACGTCATCAGTTAATATTACTGTATAACACTGTGTGATTTATCAAAATAAAATCTTATCGATAATAGAGAAATACATGTTTCTGTTTGTCAGCAGAAATAATTATGACTTTTATTAGTATGTGTACGTGTCATAAACAGTTAAATTATTTTGTTGTCATTTCTAGGTAGAAAACAAAGTCTAACGGATTAATTGATATTCTATAAGGTCATAGCTGATCGTTTAATAGACATATTAGGTGGAAGCACGGATTGATATCAGTTAGAGAAACATTGAAAGCTAGCACGGCGTAATGCACAATTGTTTCATCCTAGTTTGGGACTCATCAGTGGTGAGAATTGAAATCACGATTTGGTAGAAGCTAGAATTCTAGGACTGGCCATTGAATCAGGTCCCACTGACTGAATGGTATACGAGCTTGATTTGTAATCTGTCTATCTGTTTTCGTCATAGAACTTTGCACAGATGTGCATCACTTCGAGTCGCTACACTTCACTCCATGTAGCACACAAAGCAAGAGAAGAAGAAAGTAAAAAGAAATGCGAAGTAGAGACAGTAAACAGAGATATAAGGCAAAAGGAATAGTGATATCGAAGAACCAACTAGTTTTATTGGATAGTATAAGTCACAAGGTGTGGATGCATCTGCGCCAGCCATTGACAATGATTTTGAGCCATATCACCAACTGTCTCCAGCCATCGGTTATACTGTCTCGAGGACCCCCAACCAGGAAGTCTACATCTTCCTACTTGGTTTTCACTGACTGATGAAACCGTACTTTGGTTTGACCACCACTAACTGACTCTTTTCCAACCTGATCCTATATCACCTAACATTACCCGTCGAGGAAGGCGATGGCTAGGGATGCATACGTAACACATGTCCTAACCCGTCGCAGTCGATGTAACTTCACAGTCTCGTCGACTGATTTCCCCTCCCTACCTAACCTTAATATTGCTCACTCTATTATAGTACCTAACATGGGGGACAGAACGCAGACATCTATGATCAAATACAGCTAGCCGGCCTTTTCATGTCTTCCACTTTCCATAGCCATGTCCCTCAGCTAGCCAAAAAAGAGGACGGAGCGGACTGCAGCTGAGCAATACACACGCCTCTCGTTCGATAACTGGATATCACGTTTATGTCAGAGACGGCGTAAACTGGCACTTGTAATCTGAAGGTTCACGGGTTCGAACCCCAGGGAGTTTGTGTTGCCGACCAGTCCCAATCTAGAATGAAACAGCTGTCCAATACTCCAACCTGGGTTTCCGGCGTTTTTCTGACTAATATCAATTCGTGGGCAAACCTGGAATAAGTAGAATCGCTACAAGCTAATTCTTGAAAATAGACATATCACCGAAAATGTAGAGCAGTCAATCAGTTTGTACAAATATGAACCGGAAAACCAAAATTATCCGACTGTTTAGATATAATCTGGAACTAATAATAATAATAATGAGACTGAACAAGTGACCGGTCAGCAAGATTTTTCTCTCAATAGTATCATATTGATTGTGAGGTTTTTAACCTGATAAATAAGCTTAGTTTTGGGTTTTAGAATCAGGTTTGTATTCAGTGAGAATTTATTTTAAGAACAGATTAACCTAATTTGCATTCATAGTGTCAAATAAAATTGATCTTTCTTGTAATCCAATAACACGAAATTCAATAATTTATTTATACATAACGTATCGATCATGGGTACATGAAAAGTGAACACACACAATTACTAATCACTTTTGATGAATAACAACCACAATCAATTATTTTGATACCTCGTCCAAAGTGAGATTTCAATTACTTAATTGACTGGTGACACGTTCACCTGCTAATAATAATAATAATAATCGTGATAGCTTTATTCTGAATTATTATTATTATTGTTTCCTTTAATTCCTAGAGGAAATATGGCTTCAGCCGTGCGTCTCCATTGCGTTCGGTTCTCTGCTAGAGTCTTC